GAATCGTGAAGTCTCGCTACCTCCAGTACGATAAGAAAGACACCAAGAAGGTACTTGAATAGCTCGCTGCTGGACTCGGGGGTCGCTCAGGGAAGGATAGAAATTGGGGGGGGGGGGCTTGGGCGGGAGACCTAAGCAAAAAACGACTCTGCTGTGGTTCTGAGGGAGTCATGGCGTGTTGCTAGATGCAGACTGGGATAGGAACTTAGGGCTGTACTTAGGTGACTTGCAAAGCACCAAGACGCCCTGGGATTGTAATTGTTTATAGTCAGCATTCAAGTTGGAGGTGAGATATTTTGCTAATCACAATTACTGCTTATGTTCAGTCTTTTCTGTTTCTTGATTTTCAGGATACTTCAGTAAATTCCTTTTCAGTATCTACTGCTAAATCATCATCTGCAACTAAACCAAGATCAGTTCCTCCTCAGAAATGTAAAACTTCCACTGGTAGGTTTTACCAGAATTTAAAAAGTTATTCGTTTGTGGATTTGTATTTCCAACCTGTGGAACTCTTAACAATTCTAAAATGCTGTTAAGAGATGATATTTTGTATTACTTAACATCACTGCCAGTTTTTATCTGCATACAAAGGTTATTAAGAAAGTTGATGTGGGATTAAGAGGTGTAAACTGAAGTGTATTAAACTCTTTGTCTGGACGTTCTGATAGAGAACTACTGGAATTAAGTAATTGGGCTGTCTAAGCGTATCTCTTGCCCTCTGCACAAGGCTTTGAACCATTCTTTTACTATGCCCTCACTATTGCACTGCATTTTTTATTTAATCTTTGTAATAAACCCAATGAAAATCCCTGTCTGCAAAACAGTCTATTTTTATTTCTTTTGCAAGAATTGCAAAACAATTTTCTGATAAGTTCTTATCTTAACTTGAAAATCATGAGGAAATAACATTATCCCCTCTTTACATCCGAGTGTTGTTGAACTGTGAAATGTTTAAGAGGATAACATTCTGAGCTACCTTATCTCTAGGTAAGTTAGGGAGTATACAAATGGTGTATATAAAGTAAATGCATAAAAGCTTGCACAAGGCTGCCACTTATCAGTGAAAGCATATGTAATTGTAAACTTGTATAGAATCTGTTCTAATTCTTTTAGTTTGATAACAGCTTCTTTCTACAGGTGGTGTTTCTAGCTCATTAAATCAGAGTAGTTTTGAGAAAGGTGACTTGCAGTCCACTTTATTAGGTGAAGATAAAATTAGTCGACCGGACCTTGATCTTTCAGCTATTAATGGTAAGCTTTCACTTGTACTCAGTTTCTTGGTTTATTATTTTTAACATATGTACTGTATCTTGATGATAAGTGACACTTGTATTCTATATTCACGAAAGGATTTTGTTAAATAAGGTGAATGTTATTTCAGATGTCTTTAAGGAGAGGTGTTGAGACCTTCAGGGTTTAAATTAACTTCTCAATTTTTAGTATCTTTTGGGTGCTCTGGTCTGTTTGTTTTAAGATCAAATATTAAAGAACAAAGTACTCTCAAGTCTTTGTTCCTGTAACAGGTGGATGTTAGTTTATCAGCCCTTTTGAAAATTGTCTCACACCTATCTGTAACTGTCACTTAGATTTAAGTGCTCATGTGATCCCCATCTTCTCATGGATATCATCAGAGCCAGAAATAAAGTTGTCTTTACTGGTACACATAATAATTTTGAAATTATCTTTGCCTTTGAAGAACCTGATGGTATGTTGACCCACCCTATATACCTCAGTAGAAGAAAGCAATAACTTTTCTGTTGTGATACAGATAAAACTGTCCGCAAAAAGACTCCTGGCTCAAAATCTGCTGGAGATACAGGAACACGACGAAAACCCCAAAAAGTGGTGAGTCTCACTGCTTTCATTTGTTAAGCATATTTATTTTTAAATATGTGAAATGAAGATTTTCTGTTTATCTTTAATCTTGATAACTTTGAGGTCCTGGAATGTTCTGAAGTGTTCTGGCAGAAGTTAGAGGATAAGTCTGTTCTACTGCTAGCAATGTTTGTTTATCAGATGTCTGAACACTGACTGAAGCTTTGCTTCTGTTTCTTGTGGTAAAGAACCTGCTCCAATTGTAAGATCTGCTCAAGTGGATTCTTTTTGTATCCCTGTCCATACTTTTTAATTATATCACATTATCTTTAAATATTTTCTGATATTTTTTCTCACAAAACTAACATTGATTCAATCTAATTTGAAGTGCCTTATTTAGAGATCTCATTCAACGTAGCACTGAAACTTCAAATTCCCTAGCAGTATTACGAAAATCTGCTGAAAATGTTATAAAAAGTGGTGGAACAAAGAACAAAGGTATATTTAATTAATATGCGTTGTTTAAAAAAATCAAACTTTTTTCATCTAGCTGACTATTGATGATGATGATTCTGGGCACAAATTGGACTTTCAGTAGTTTATTTGAACATTGAAAAAATAATTGCTCAAATACCAAAACTGATATAGTATATTCTTTTCTTTTCTGAAGGGAAATAATTCTGATGCTCTGATGGAAGAGCTGGAGTCTCAGACACTGCTTTTAACTTACCTGAGAGTAAAGGTGAGAGTCAGTCAAGTATTTGGTGTTTCAGATAAAGAACCTGATATTGAGGAATTGTTTAATTTCTTGTCTATGCTTTCTGATGGGTAGAAGTTAGATTTTTGTGACTTTATATGTTTATGGTTGTAAAACTGTATGACTTGCTTTGAAAACTCTCTTAAAGTGAATTCAGTGCCAGTTTATTAAGCTGGTGCTAGTTCTTCATGAAGTGTAGGGATATGCAGAAGTTTTGGGAAAACTGTGAGTGAGAGTGTTTGGAGTTCAAGGCTGTAGCATTGACTTTGTTCTTTGTTCAGTCAGTGCTGTATTTTTATATTTTTCCTTTACAAAAAATATTGGTGGGGTTGGGGGAAGAAGGTGGAGAGAGGCTTTAAATATAATGTACTGTGCTTATTGCCTGAGGTCTCAGATTCGTTAATTGAAGCTCTCTGACCTGGTCCAAGGTTTACACTTGTTTATTCAGAATATGTTAATTACTTAGATGTTGCATTACTTTAGTTGTGAATATTTTTGGGATGTAATAGGCAGAAAAAAATCTTGCTGAGCTGGAGAAAAAAGCAGAAAAAAACTTGCTAATGTTGTGTGAAGAAAAGGAAAGACAACAGGAGAAGCTCTATGAGTTGAAGCGTGGAATTCTACTCAAAGAGAGAGAGCAGAAACTTGATGAAGTGTTAGACAAACAGGTGGGCTTTATTACAATTTATGCTTCTCCTATATTTAAACAAGCTCACTTATGAAGTAGCCCTTTATCCAGAGAAGATTTCCCTGCTTCTGTGGCCTGCTGGGGTACAATTTTCTGCATCTTAAATTAAATATCTACTTCCTCTTGTGTCATGTAATGCTCTCTAGTAACCTAAGCAAATGCCTTTGTCACATTTTTGCTTGTCCCTTGTGGACAGGCAGGAAGGAGAAGTTAGAGCTGAGATGCTAATCCTTAGGTAAGAATTGAACATAATCTGTTCGTTATTTGTCTTACCTTTATATGTTAGACAGCAATAGTTCTGGCCTGGTTGTAAGAAGCCAAGTTACTAATGAAGTTCTTGGTAATAGGTGATTTTGGAAGCTAAACCCTCTCCTCTTTTTCATTTTTTTTGTTAGTTCTGTTGTGTCAAATAAAAGGTAGCACTTTTGAATAATTAATTTTCAAAACTGAACCTATGTTTGCTTTTAACAAAAATGCATTGTAGAAATTAAACAAGGCTTTTGTCTGCTAGTGAATACAGTTAACTGCAGTCAAAGTATCATATATAAAACACTTTGTGTGCTATGTTGCTAATATCTCTGAGCTACAGTAACAAGTAAATTGGTATTGACCTAGGCATTTTGAGGTGGTAGAGGAAAACCTGTCAAACAGCATGATAGGAGTATCATACCACAAACTTCTTGAATTCGTCTGTCAACAAGCATTTCAGAGTGGTACTTGAGTTTTTTATAAGGTTACTTTTCTGTATTGAGTCAGGTCTGTACTAACAAAATGGCTGCTTTTGAAGAGGTGTTGGTTCATCATGTATCTTTTTCAGATGGAAATACTTTCTCCCCTTATTCCTGTTTGTGAACAATTTAAAGACCAATACAAAAACTTTGCAGTTTCCCTGGATGCCACTAGACATGAATTGCCCATAAAGAATATTCACATAGAAGGAGATACGCTAACATACCTCGGTATGAAATTTGATTAATCAGATCTATTTTCCAAAATAGTGGGGTTAGGTATGCTAAAATTCTTAAGTTGTTATTACTAGATCTATCTGTGGCCACTGGACGAATTTTGTGTGCTTTTAGAGGTTGTACAGACGCTGGGCTACAACATTAGTCACGTGTTTTGCTGTGAGTAATTCTTGTCTCTGTTTAACCGCTAAACTGCACTTGAACAAGTTTTTTTATCATGTAGCAGGGAAAAAATTAACTTTCTAAACTAAGGCAGTTTTCATATACACTTTCTTTAGCAAGTTTCTGTATGTTTTAACTGTATTCATGGTATTCTTCCTCCTTTGTTGTTCTTAATGGATTAGCAACTTGTAGAAATACTGTGATCTCTTCTTGTTTCTTTCTTTGTGGGATAAAGTCATATGGGTAGACTTGCTCACACATCCTGTCAAACTAGAGCTTAAATATAGTGTGTGATGTCTCAAATCAGAGAATGTTTGTTTAATACATTAATACTTGTGTTTTGTTACTGAAATCCGGACAAAAAGTTACACTTTTAAACTGCTGATCTGCAAGAAATGAGATTCTTAAACCATTTACAATAATCTTGCTTACGCTTTAAAACAAATGGAAAAGATTTATTGAAGAACTTAGAATTCTGGTAAGAAGGTTTGAAAGGAAATAAATACGTATTTTTTTGTTTGTGAATGCTAAAGGAAAGGACTGGATAAATTTCATGTTGGAGTACATGCCAATAGCAATATATGTAACTGGCCAGGGAATTTTTGATGTTTAAAACTTGGTTTTTTTCCTCTTGCATACATTTTGTAAAAATCTTTTACATACTCTAAATGAGAGCTTGATTAGCAATTTTAATAGGCTGTTGCTGGTGTTAGTCTTCATAACTAAAAATAATTTGGCTTTCACAGTTTTCTCATAGTGTGGTTCTGAAAGCTGAACAAACATAGTTTTCCATCGTCTATTTGACCTGTTTCTGTGGTTACTCCAGCTGTTAAGTAATCTTGTATTAACTGATGCCACTGCATGCATTTTTGAATAATATCTTTAACATCTCATATTGTAGATGAACTGCAAAAGCAGTTAACTATCACACAGGAACTTCTGACAGAAGTCATGCCAAACTACTCAGAAGACAGTGCAAAAGCATTTAGTGTACTGACAGACCTTAAGGAAGTTTCTCAGAAACTGGAGAAAGAGCTTCAAAGGTATTACAACAATCAGGTGAAAAGACTCATTGGTTAAATATTCAGAGGAAAATCTATAGTCTTGCCAGACTATATCCAGAATGTATATTGGAGGAGGATTAATTGAAGGGATAGTAGCACTAAGTTTAATTCTGTTCATAGCAGACATCTGTATTTCTGTCTCTACGCTACCTACAGTGAAAGTAAATATGCTTGGCTTTTTTTGTTTGTGTGCTTTAGTATGCAGGTTCTCTGACACTTTAGCTCAGAATTTCAGTGAGCAAGAATAGCCCTGATAAATTGCAAATATGTAGGAGAGTGGAGAACTCCAGGAGACAGAAAAGTGAACTGGAAGCACTATGTCTTAAATAATAGCCATGCAAATATATCATCCTTTAGGAGGTAGAAGGAGCACAGAAAAGTTTTTTTTCCCCAAGTATTGTGTCAACAAATACAAAGTAGCACTGAGAGTATGAGGAAGAGATAGAGCATGATAAATTTCCTTTTCTTCCTTCATTTCCCTGGAAGAGATTACGGATAAAATCTTTGAAGATTGATAGACCATAAAGCCATGCATCTTGGCCTCCTCTCCTCCAAATTCTAGCTGTTGGGAAGAAAGTTCACATTTTATATGTTTTTTTTTCTTGTGGAGAATGATGTGAACTTTCAGGCATGTAGCCTTTGGGGTTAAGTAGAAGTAACTGATTTAGCTTGCTTTGTTTGTTCCAGGAGCTTCACACAAGTGCAGAACCTGTCGTTTGAAGTTAGTAAAGAAGTTTCTCTGCATAACCAAGGAATATGTGAAGAGAATCATGGACTAGATGTTGTGAAACACTGGTACTTCAACTAAGTTTGTGTGTTGTTTTACTAACAAGTGGATACTAAATCAATGCCAGCATACTACTTGTAACTTGTCTAAATTTTCAGTTACACAAGAAGATGAAACCAGCAGCATGTGTGCTTACTAATATGAGAAATGGAGTTTTGTTTTGCTGTCCCATAAGGAGACTTTTTTTTTAATATGAATTTCTGTGACACCTTTCCCATCACTTTCTGCCCTGACAATACTGAAAGCTAAACAGTAAGAAATGTTATTCTTAGCAAATATGACCTACGTATTCTTAAACAACTTCTTTTACTCTCTTGGAACTGGCTTCAAGTACAATGATTTGCATCTCTTTCCAAAGCAGTGTTCCTTAGAGGGCAGCATTTCAGAACATAGATGTGGAATTGTGTATGTGGTACTGTGCACTTGCTGCTCTCATCAGGAGGATCTGTAGGAATGTACAGCGTGATTACTGGTCACTGTGAACAGCTTCTGGAGGAACTCTTACTTGTCCCTTATTTCTGGATTTACTGAAGGGAAAAGCTATGTGGGTGGCAAGTAACGAGGCTGATGCTTGGAAGGAGCCTGATCACTTGTTACAAGTGAAAAGTTTTGGTAACTTTTTGCCTAATCGTCTTGGAAACAAATTATTAAAATCATAAATGCTTTTTTATTAACCTGACACTTTCTCTTTAAGGACTTTATTTATTCTTTTTAATAATAAAACTGTTTTCCACTGCTATATTAATAGTCTTGATGTTTGAATATCTTCACTTATCTCCTACAGAAGCTTTTGTTTCTGTCTGGGCTTACATAGGGCTAATACTACACAATATATGGACTTACAGGCACTAACCAGTCCCAATGGCAAGCCATGACCTACTGGCAGCCAAAGTGCTGAGGCCAGAAGATTGTAAATGTGGAGATGTAGCCAAAAAGATAGGCCTGTAACGAA